CCTGCGCCTCGCCAGGTCCCCGCGCCGCCGCCGCCGCTCCACGTGCGGGGTGGTCCCCGAGCGCACGCTCCCTACTGTCCCTCCCCCCCTTTGGTAAGTCCCACTCACCCCTCATCTTTCTCCCCAGCCCTACTTTTTGCATAAAGAGGAAAAAGTTCTGTCGAAAGTGTCCACCGATTGTCACCTCCCTATTATCCTTCGCTCCTGCCCCACTTTTTATTTTTTAAAGCGGCGGCAACTTATTATTTTGCTTTACGATCGATAGCTTCCTGTGCTTTTTTTGGTCAGGGCGGCTAGTGAGCGGCAGCTTGGCGTGGACCTCATGTAGAAATGACAACAATGGAAGGGGCCAGCGGGTCTAGTTTTGGAATAGACACGATTTTGTCCAGCGCCAGCTCGGGCAGCCCCGGCATGATGAACGGAGATTTCCGCCCGCTTGGAGAGGCGAGGACCGCGGATTTTAGGAGTCAGGCAACCCCATCCCCCTGCTCGGAGATTGATACCGTAGGAACGGCGCCTTCTTCTCCCATCTCGGTCACCCTGGAGCCCCCGGAGCCTCATCTGGTGGCAGAAGGGCCCCAGCATCACCACCACCTGCACCACGGCCAGCCGCCGCCAGCCTCAGCCCCGACGCAAAGTTTGCAGCCTTCGCCCCAACAGCAGCAGCCGCCGCCACCAGCCTCCCAGCAGCTGGGCTCGGCTGCCTCGGCCCCCAGGACTTCCACGTCTTCTTTTTTAATTAAGGACATCTTGGGCGACAGCAAACCTCTGGCGGCGTGTGCACCCTACAGCACCAGCGTCTCCTCTCCCCACCACACCCCGAAGCAGGAGAGCAACGCAGCGCACGAGAGCTTCCGGCCAAAGCTGGAGCAGGAGGACAGCAAAACCAAACTCGACAAGCGCGAAGACTCCCAGAGCGACATCAAATGCCACGGTGAGTCCCACCGCTCCGGCGCCGGCCAGCTTCTCCTCCGCCAGGTTTCCAGCCCCGCGCCCGCCCACCGCCAGCGAATCTCGGGAGGAGGAATTATTCTGCGAGCATCTCGGGTGCTGGTTGTGAGAGAGCAAAGCTGAAGAGAGGCCTGGCGGTGCAGTTTAGAGATGGGTCTGAAGTTCGGTTTATTGTTTATTTCTGACCACCCCCCACCTTCGCTGCTAACCAGCTCCGATCTTTGTTTTATTTAACTTTAATGTTTTGATTTAATGTTTTGAGAAGGTGCGCGGTGGCGAGGAAATGTGAAAGGAAATATTCTTCGTTGATAAAAGGGAGGGACTGTGGGTTTCCTAGCCGAGACCTTGAGATTGGGAAGGCAGGAGGTGGGAGAGCTAGCTTCGTGTCTGGGGCTGTGATCACAACCTGATGTTAGTTCTTTAATGCAAACGGTTGCGTCTCTAATATTTTCTAAGCACTACAAAAATGATAGGATTTAATGAATGAAAAATTTCCTAGTCGATTAACAGAGCTACATAAGTAAATTAGGTAGTGGTTAATACAGAGAAGCCAGAACAAAGTCATAATAAATTTTTTTTAAAAAACCCTTTCTTACCCAATGGTATCAACAAAATTTATTTATTTTTAGTAAAATTTTAGCTTCTTAAAGGCAACAGTGAGATAATATCTATGTAAAATTTTATGGCATTTATTTTTGTGGAAGCAAATAACAGTGGGAATTGTCCTTTAACTTCCCCTTTTCATTTTCTCCTCAATCTCATAATTAAGTGTTCTTCTGGTCCTCGCTTGGGAAAAGAGTTTTAACATAGAAGGGGCGTAGTTTCTTTTATACCTTTACTGAGAAGTTATTAATCCTTGCTTCTCTCTCTGGTCAAGATATGTGCTATCTGGAAGGTATGAATTTACTTCTCATTTTACTATTATAGCATTAGCATAATAGTGCCCAAAACAGATGTACAGTCTGGTCTGGCGATTTTTCGTGCACCAACCTCCCCAGTGGGTCAATTAGAGAGATTATTGTTCTTCCTGCAGGGAAGATCAAGGAGCACTGCACAAACGGGTACAAACAGAGAGGGATTGACATATCGATTTCCCAGCATTTCAGTAAAAAACCAAAGTTGACAAATAGAATCCGGAAATCTCCGCACTGTCACCTGGATAGGCTCAATAATTTTGAGTTCAATTCAGTGGCTGGGTGACACATTTGTTTTGGGAGCTTTAAAAGAGCTCATGCAGACAGCTGCAGAAAGCTTGATTCCAACATTTACCAAAGTGCATCTGAAGAAAGAAACAAGTGCAGTAAACGGGGAAAAATGGAAAGGGTACCTCCTCAAAAAAACAAAACAAAACAAAACAAAACCAAGCAGACTCTGAAACCAATCAAATTAGCAAAATGCTCATAGTGAAAACAATTTAAAAATGGACGATGTCTCCCCAAACAAGAAAAAATAATAAAAGAAAGCTTTATTAAGAAGTATATTTTTAACTTTTAATTTTCAATAAGATCAGACTCTCTTTCAGAACAGGATCTCGGCACAAGGTCCCACGCTCCCCAGTCAGAAAACAATCCTCTTCTTTCATACTGGCTAAAGCCCAAGTATATGTGTGTGTTGGGGGGTGGTGGTGACAGAGTGTAGTCCCCTAGGATCAGTGGCTGGCTTCACAATGTGGAAGTGTACTCCTGGACATTCTGCCCTTTCCCATTTCAGGCTAACCTGTATGGCTGTGGCTTGGTTTCTATTGTAGGAACAAAGGAAGAAGGAGACCGGGAGATTACAAGTAGCCGGGAGAGTCCCCCTGTAAGAGCTAAGAAGCCTCGAAAAGCAAGGACAGCTTTCTCAGACCACCAGCTCAATCAATTGGAGCGTAGCTTTGAACGGCAGAAGTACCTGAGTGTCCAGGACCGCATGGACCTGGCAGCCGCACTCAACCTCACTGACACCCAAGTCAAGACCTGGTACCAGAATCGCAGGTAAGGAAGGCTGCTCAGGGGAGCAGAGGTGTCTGGCCATTCCCTGCTGGTCTCTGGAGATCTAGGGATTGAAAATGAGAGGGCCTAGAGTAGGTGCTTGGGGTTTTCAGACAAGGGTTAGGATTAGCCATACCACCAAGTGAGAGGATCCGAAGGGCAGCTGGAGTTCGGTCAGCTTTGCACTAGTAAGTATCTTAACAGGTGCTAGGTTCCCTCTGAAATCTGAGCTGATGGAACACCCCCCAAACCCCACACACTTTGTCCCCAAATCAATCAAGCCACACCTTCTCAAATTGAGACATCTGTGCAGCTGACACTCAGGCCCAGAGAGCCTGTGTATGCCCTGCACCCCTTGGGTCTGCCCTAGGCTGGTTCCAAATGTCTGCAGCTGGCAACAAGGCCCAGCTATTGCAGTCCCCACTGAGTTGTCCCACCAGCCTCCTCCTAGATGTGTGGGAGTCGGAGATCCAGGGTCCATCCAGCACAGTGTTGGACACTGGGAGAGCCCCGCTGGGTTCGAGTTGGGTTGCTGCTGCAGGCTGGAGATCAGGCAGCTGGCCAGGCACCTAGACTGGCAGGACGGAGTGTCTGGCCCCAGTAATGACCACCTTTGCTGTATCAAATAGGGAGAAAGGGTGCCACAGAGCTGTCCCTGCACCAAGTGATTTTGTGTAAAGGAGACTAAGAAAGTGGCTCCCTGAACTTGCAGGGCCCCGAACTGTAGGTCCAAACCTGGGCTGTCTGATAAGAAGTTATGCTATTTCCAAGCCTGGCACTGCTTAACTCCCTTGTCTCAATTTTCTCCCCCGCCCCTTTCTCTCGTTTGTGTTCTAATCGTCCATAAGTGCAGTTGGAAATGCCCATCCAGTTGTCATCTTTACCATAATTTTCTGTCTCATTACATACGGTTTCAGCCACCCTAATTCTGTCGGAAAACATTAGTGTCATTTGTAGCCAATTTAAAATGGGCGACATGTTTATTAATTTGGCTGGAGCTTTGGGGTATGGATGGCCCACCCGCCTTGCAATCCTTCATAAGGCATAATTTAAGCAAAGGCCTGCTTTCCTCTTCTTCTTAGTGGGGTGCAGGGGTGCAATGAGGGAGGGAGGAGAGGAAGAAAAACTGATCACAGGTTTTGTTATTTTCTCCTAAGGAGGACATGTCTTGAAATACATTCTCCCTCCACCAAGGGTGGCCAGGGGATACTGTCCCCATGGGAGAGTCCTCTCTCCAAAGGATTTATTTTGAAAGCTTGTTCCCCACCCTAAACCCCTTGCCCACTATAGGGACCTGTCAGCCTGGTAAGATAGTCTTTTCCAAAGCTTCAGGGAATGAGAGGGGCTAGGGTCCAGGCCTAGGAGTTTCCAGTCTTCTCTCTTTGTTTACATTTTCAGTTTCTTTTTGCTGGGGGTCTGGGAAGGGAGAGTGGCCAGAGTCGAGGCTTTGGGATTATTGGAGTACCTGGGGGAGAATTAAGGCAGTCTTGTGGAAAGAAGAGTCTCATTTGATCTCCAGGAAAGTTACAGCAAGTAATCAAACTATGGAGGGGGCACAGTAGAGCAGAGGGTTGGAAAGGGTGCTAAGCTTGTAGTCGTTCCATCTGTCAGCATCTCCAACGTAGTGTAGTTTATAAAATTGGCTTCGGGTTTAGGTTATACTGCCAGCAAGGCAGGGAAAGTAGACGTGCATGCGTATCAACTTCCCAGAGCTCTTTGAGCTTTAGTCCATCTCGGAGAGAAGTTGGAGGCCAAAGAGAGTCAGAGGGAGCCAGACAAGCCATGGGGACCTTGGTGAGGGGACCTTGCCCACCATCGTGGGCTGCAGGCTTGCCCACTTTCTTTCAGGACCAAGTGGAAGCGGCAGACTGCAGTGGGCCTGGAGCTTCTTGCTGAGGCAGGGAACTACTCAGCGCTGCAGAGGATGTTTCCTTCGCCTTATTTCTACCACCCAAGCCTTCTGGGCAGCATGGACAGTACAACCGCAGCGGCAGCCGCCGCGGCCATGTACAGCAGCATGTACCGGACTCCTCCAGCACCCCATCCCCAGCTGCAGCGGCCCCTGGTGCCCCGAGTGCTGATCCATGGCCTGGGCCCAGGGGGGCAGCCGGCCCTCAACCCCTTGTCCAACCCCATCCCAGGCACCCCACATCCCCGGTGAAGAAGGACGAAAGGCGGTGCGTCCTTCCCTGTCCCCGGCCCCAACCTGGACAGCTGCCCACCTCTCCCCACACCAGGCCACTGGGCCACCAGGCTTCCCTTGCAGCCTATCCCGGGAGGCAGAGGAGTAAGAGAGGAAGGTGCTCACCAGTGGGTGGGTGTCCCCAAAGAGGAGCCAGCCCTCTGTTCTCCACCCCCATTCCAGAGACAGGGCTGAAAGCTCCCCCATGGTGTGATCGGCAAAAAGCTGACACCACACAAAGTGAAACCAGTAAGTAAAACATCAACAAAAACAAAACCTCAACTTCTTTTTAAAAAATGACTTTAGGGACAAGCAGAAGGGAGGGAGGGGGGTGGGCTGAGGAGGGAAGAAGGAAGGGCATGGAGAGGAAGGTGGGGCAGAAAGAATTGTAGCTAACTGCCAGCCTCAGAAGACCAGGCAGGAGGTCTTGCTGTGGACATTCTGTCTGCCCCAGAGAAAGGAGGAGGGTGACTGAGAACTTTGCACTGATTTCTCATGACCTTTTTTCTTTTGGAAAAGTGGCATGCTCCATAATATGAAAAAATGTACATTTGAAAGACTGAGTGATAAGTGATATATCATATTTATTATATGTTGTCCAAAAAAAGAGTCACTTATATACGTTAGTAAAAACATCCTTTTTCTTTTCATGTCTTTTTGATTCAGTAAAATAAATGCTTAGACAAAAATATAGATTTTTTTTGTGATTGAAAATTACAAAAATAAAGTTTATCTTTTTTTAACAAGCGATGAAATCCCGGGGAGCTGATTTTACTAAAGCGTTTATACATACTAGATGAAATGTGTGACTTGGTTAGGGGAATAAAAATGCCCCCCCCCCGAATATTAAGAATTTACAAAATCCGTACCACATCAGGTCAGTTTGCATAAAAACAGCTTTGTTTTTCATCTGCTTTCGGAGTCACTCTGCTGCGTGTGGGCGACTTTTTTTCAAGTGAGCCGCGGGAGGAAGTCCGCTCTCTAGACTCGCTTTGTGGGCCGCTGGCTGCTTCCCCAGGATCAGCCTGGGGATCCCTCCCTGCCCCTCCCCCTCTCGGGTCTTTCTGGGCGCTGAGGTCCCGGGTGCAGGGGGAAGACGCCGGCCTCGCAGCTGTTCTGCAGCCCGCGGCGGGCCGCCCGCGGCCGGACAGCCTGCGAGCGAGCGGGAGGCTGCGGGGCGAGCAATTAGGGCGCCCCAGGGGACGAGGAGAGGCCCCGCTAACAAATCCTTGTCGAGGCTTTGATTCTTGCCTTCTCTGTCCTGCGGTGGACTGGAGTCATCAGGGCCACCCTGAGCCGCAGGACCTAGCAAATACGCTGTGCTTCGACGCACGGAGCTGGAAGCCACTGAGAACTCTAGTCCGGACAGGCATGCCAAGCCTTTTATCTGCGCCTCTGCCACGCTGGGACCCGTAGTACAGACCTTGCCCAGTGTGTGTGGGGAGGCCCGCTGCTGTTTCTCTCTCTCTCTCTCTCTCTCTCTCTCTCTCTCTCTCTCTCTCTCTCTCTTTCTCTCTCTGTCGT